CAGTTAGCAAAGGCATGTAAAAGAGTACATACTGCTCTCATCAGATCGGTGACATTACATTTCAAGCTGTTACATGAAGCAGGATTTACTGACACATTTTGCTACACTTTCTCAGTCACTGAGTGAGTTTAATTTTATGCCGCTTTTAGCAACATTCTAGCAATATCACAACGGGGGACACCAGAAATGGGCTTCACACATTGTATCCATGTGGGGAATCGAACCCGGGTCTTCGGCGTGACGAGCAAACGCTTTAACCACTAGGCTATACCCCCACCCTCCCATACTTCCTCGGTGTTCACTTGACGCCAGACTGACAGTGTCAGCACAAAACTATCCTAACTGTGATCATGTAATTAATAGTGATGTGCTTCTTTCTCTGTATTGAAATGAAGAGATTCGAAGACAAAAGGGCATCTACCACCTAGATCAACTTTATATAAATTATATTTTCCAACATGAAAAATAAAAAAAAACATTTTTTGTTTAACTAACGTCATCTTATTTCCTGTTTTTACAGGTGATACACAAATGTGCCATGGGGAAAGATATTTGTTGGAACAAAATAAAAAACCCAAAGTGCTTCATATTTGAGACTGTGCTAAACTATAAGCGATAGATACTCTGAGAAAGTTTATTTTTGTAGCATGATACTATTTAATTACTCTAGATCAGATATATGGCATAAAATTCCAAACAAGATTACAAAGTACATAGGGTTGAAAGGACGATTCTTATCATTAAGAGAAGAACATTTCTTGGATGTAACATGTCATCGCACCATGTTCCATCCCCAACTTTGACCTTGACCTTTGTCTGCGTCGATGACATTAAATCAGTTATGGTACTCATGGTGGTTATTTGTTCTGGTCAGGAAACAAAGCATTGTGGATGAGTATAAAGTATTTAAACTTTGCCACAGCGGTAGATATTTGTGGTGGGCAAGCCGTGGATGTGGAGGGGATGTACGAGTGCATCGCCGGTGAGTCAGAAACAGATAATTACAGATTATCGCACACATCCTTCACAATAATATGACAAGTTAATAACTCTCTGGTCTGCAGTGTACAACTGTATCAGCTGCTACTGATAGGCCAATCTGTGGTACACTCAGAGATAGTTCTCACACCAACAGTATCGCTTCTAAAGCAGAACAAGCCTTTAGGTTAATAGTAGCTGTAGGAACAAGTCACAAGTATTGTTTTAATCAGTTGGATTACATGACAGTTGGAACATAATGAAATAATTACAATGTACTTATGATTTTGAAATAAAACATTCAGTATAAATGCCAAATAATTATCAATATCTCCCTCAAAGCAAGAATATGAAAGTTTGAAAACCAATACGTTCACTTGAGTTCAACAATAATTCATATCCTAACAGAAGTTACAGAACACCTGATTTGCTATTAATACAGTTAATCTGTCACGGTATATATTACTATTTAACTTATTTTGATTTGTATATAGTTTTGTTTCACTCTGATGAGGTTTGAACAATGCTTAAGAAAATACGCTAAAAATATTTTTGAAACTGAAAAAAAATAAATCAGATTTGCATTGCTGTGAAGTGTCTGAACCTTTTTTGCATTCTACGTCAGTGTTCTTTCCAATTATAGGTACACAGAACCAACTGGAGAAGGAGGTAGGTACAATTTATTATCCGTCAGGGAAGAAGGTGTCAAGGAAAGGCAAATCCCCAGACTCATATTTAACCTCAATCAAAGGAAGAGCACTAAAGTTGCAATCTACCAGTGCGATACGTGCATTGGAACACTTCTTTCAACCTAGAACCACCCCCGCCCTCACCGAAATAGACGACCCTCTGCCGACCCATGACAGGTGGTGATGGTCTGTATCTCAATGAACGATCCTCTAACACAAGGGAGATAACCCTGCACCTATTCTCAGCCTAGCAGTTGAGAGTCGGAGACCTTGGAGGCAGGTAATCAGGCCCTGCTGGCAGCATGGGCCACTGACTCTCGTCGCTTCCTGTGATAGCGCCACCTACCTGTTAGAACACTCTCAAAATACTCCTGGGATAGGCAGACTGGGCAGATCAAAAAGGAGGAATGAACAGGGTTTTATGTGACACGCAAATGTGCGTCAGTACGCAAAATTACAGGAAGGATTACAGAAAAAATATTCACTGCGTCCCTCGGTACGCACATTATTATTCACTGTTCCCACAACACTTATATGACTTTAAATGTTTGGTTGTTTCTTTCAGAGCAATTACATGCATCATTTCACCCATCAGTTCACATGATCAATGATTCATTCCAGGTTGTAAGAAATTATCAAAACATACAGTCCCCTACACCGTTCCTTCACAGGACCATGACGTACTACCTGCAAGGACCCTTAAAACTAATAATTAGGGGTCCCCCGGGACCGTAGTCTGTCATACAGACGCTGAAGCAAATATAGCCAAGAAATCCCACACAAGTCTAGAAAATGTGGCAAGTCTAGATTTCCACAGCTTCTGAAAATGAAGAAAGTCTCAGGGCTCCCTTTCATTATATTTTACTTTTTTCACTGTGAGCTTTTTTTCTGTAAAATATGTTCATTTCAGAGACTGGTTGTTAGTCTACCAGGACCCCTATGTTTGTGAGTCAAGGTAAGACCCTGAATGAATGAAGAACTACCAGGTCTGTCTTTGAAATAATGGACGAAAATCAAAGTATACTTGCCATTAGCCTGGTGTTAGATTTTGGGTCATTAAATGTAAATATAAATGACAAATTGTGAAATGGAATGTGAATGTGAAAATCATTAACCAGACAGTTGTGTTGGCCACCGAGATCCATTCTGTTGTTTGAAGGAAATTCTCCACAAAGTATACTGTTGTTTTGAATCAATCTATTTCATAAATAAACAAGTAGTCTAAAAAATATGATCATGATTAAACTGTCCACAGTCAGTGTCAACTGATCATGATATTTAAGCCATCAATTCATCGTCATAGCGACTGATTCAGAACAGCCATTGTCTAAATAATTCCAAAGGCCAAAAACTTTGTGGCCATGACATGCATGACTAAATTGAAAATATTTATATCACGCTAATCTCCATTCTTAATCTTCATCGCCACCACATTGTACATTGACTTGTCAGCCAAACCGTGCCACTCTGTCCCTTTCATTAATGACTGTGCGTGAAATTTATACCCTTAATTGGCCATCCCCTTGGCCGTGTTTACCTTCACATCACTAAGTCGAAGGCAGTGCCAGTGTCTCTATATTGTCCATTGTTGTCTCTTTGTCTGTCCATTGTTGTCTCTTTAGTGTCCATTGTTGTCTCTTTGTCCATTGTTGTCTCTTTGTCCATTGTTGTCTCTAACTATATATATGTTTACATCCATACTGTCAGCCATACATATCTCCCGACAACTTTTGGCAAATTTCCAAATTCAAAATTGGGGCAGTGGGTTGCTTAATGGTTCAAGCGCCTCCTCCTCACGCTGAAGACTTGAGTTCGAATCCCCACATGGGTACAATGTGTGAAGCCCATTTCTGGTGTTCCCCGCCATGATATTGCTGGAATATTGCTAAAAGCGGTGTAAAACCATACTCACTCAAATTCAAAATTCAGAGAAATTAAATTATGCAACACTAATGCCCCCTTTAGGTTGCCATATCTTTCAGTCAAATCGCTGCTCTTTCGATCAAACACTAAATGGCCTGGTGCAACATATGCATTATGCACGTCAAATCTCCAAATCATCATCATCACTATCAGTCAATCTGGTATTCCGACTGTTTATGTAAGGGTGACCATGAGCAGGATGTGCCAACCAAGGAAACACCCTGAGACTTAGCTGGAATTAAAATCACCTCATTTATGTTTGAGCCGAAACATTCACTCATTGCTGTCTTCGTGTATTTGTTTATGATGTATCGTAAAGAAAAACTAAACAAGTTTGGACTAAACATATTCTTCGTCTTAATTCTGAGCTAATCATCTGTTGTCACATATGTGTAAAGATGTAAACATATATATGTTACAGTCAGATTGTGAAATCAGTCATTTCATGAAATGACTAAGAGGATTAGCCATTTGGCTATTGGCTATATAAATAGGTTTGGACGTTTCCATCAAATTTGATGTAAATGTGCTTAATAATGATTGTCAATGTTCGTGATTCTCGAAACAAATCGCCAAAACACATTTTGCGGCCCGACTCTCAGAAACACAAAACACATTTCTTAGTCGGATACATGGGAAAGATCATGCGAAAAATCAGTATAAATGGCCTGTCCAACACTGCAATATCACTGCACATGAAGTCACACAGAGAGAATGCAAAGGTTAACACAGAAAGAAAGAGAACGAGCAGTAGGGATAGTTGAATGTCTGACCCTCTTAGTTATTTCACGAAATGACTGATTTCACAATCTGACTGTAACATATATATAGTTGAAGACATAAAGACGTGCCTTTGACGTATTGATGTGATGTCAAACACGGCCAACGGGATGGCCAGTTAAGGTTATAAATGTCTCTGATTTTCATTTCTTGGTTTTGTTTCCTCATTATTTGCTTCCTTTCCCTCAAAATAAATTGACATTTATTTAAATTAGATGCCACCCAATATGTCCAGTAAATACAAGAATCTACTAGCCAAGTTTGAATACCACTAGCCTCATGCCTGATCCATCATCTTTATCAGATATACCACAATATACACAGTCTTATTTGTTAAAGTGTATCGATGATGTTATATACAACAGGCAGAACATATTTCTCAAGTAAAGAAGTAAACAGTCAGTTTTGTTTGTATGCTACAAAAATTTCTTTCTTAATTTATCTTCAACTGCTTGACTAGGGGTTTTTTTCAGCCCAAAATTTGAACCATAAATTCTGAAGAGGTAGATTTTACCTGTAGCTTTATGTGACTACCGTGAAATCTGATTGGTTCAATGGACATGTATACATTAAGAGTATTGTGCCCAAATATGACACTAAACCTGGTGGAATGTGAATGTGTTTCCTTACCCTGAAGTGTGTGAAGAGGTCATCTTTGTCAAAGGTGAGATAGTTGCAGCATTTACACTTGTGGATGTCGTCCCCATGCTGGGCGATGTGGTCCTGGTACTGCTGGGGGTAGCAGCCCTGGAAGTCACACTTGGGACACTTCAGCCGTTCGAGGTCCGTCTCAGACGCCTTGATACCTGAACAGCAATGAACAACATGTCGTGACAACAAATGAATATGTCATGGACAGCAACAAAAACATGTTATGGACACCAATGAATATGTCATGGACACCAGCGAACAACACGTCATGGACCGCAATGAATATGTCATGGACAGCAATGAACGACATGTCATGGACAGCAATGAACGACATGTCATGGACAGCAATGAACGACATGTCATGGACAGCAATGAACAACACGTCATGGACAGCAATGAACAACACGTCATGGACAGCAATGGACAACATGTCATGACAACAAATGAATACGTCATGGACAGCACATGAACTTTGTCCAGGCGTCAACAACATATTGCTACCATTGAGAAACTTAAAACTCAAAGAAGCTACAAATTCTTATTTCTCCCGTAAAGTCACCATAACAAGGATTAACTTTTCAGACAGAAAAGCCGCAAAAAAATTGGAAACTGGTATTGGTGAGTGATTACGATTGGCAATAGGTGATTACACTGCATCTTATGTGAAAAAGCAGCCATGTGCATAGATGTGAGGGGATTCCCCCAGTGCTGACACGTCTTGCTTCTGTTTGCAGTCACCATAGTGTTTCTATGTTTCCAATATATATTTTTACATACAGGTTCCCTTAGAATATATTTTTGGATAAAAACGTCCCAAAAGTTATCTATGTACATATAAGACAAATGAAACATAAACACAGACGTACACTTAACATTGAATACATATGTTCATCTGCAGACGGGTTCAGACAGAGGCCTGTTTTCTGTACTGGGACAAGTTGTCCGTTTCCTACTTTCACAGCTGAGTCTTCTTTGTGGTTGAGGAAGGAGTTGGGGTATGCCAGTTGCATAACAATGATGTTGGTGACAGACTATGTCTGGGGAAGTTGGCCACAGATAAAGGGATGGCCAGGGCTGTGTGGTTACTCAAGCAAGTTGGGGTCAGACATTCGATCATTGCTTTGATCAAAAACATGAATATTGTTAGAGGAATCAAAGGTCTAGCAGTGGATACTCCCAATAAGGAAGTTGACATCCATAAATCTGGCTGTTCTAATACCTACCTAAATTACAATGTCTCTGACTGACAGAGGGCACATGTTACAATGTCTCAAACTGACACAGGGCACACGTTACCATGTCTCAGACTGACACAGGGCACATGTTACAATGTCTCAGACTGACACAGGGCACATGTTACAATGTCTCAGACTGACACAGGGCGCATGTTACAATGTCTCAGACTGACACAGGGCACACGTTACAATGTCTCAGACTGACACAGGGCACATGTTACAATGTATCAGACTGACACAGGGCACACGTTACAATGTCTCACACTGACACAGGGCACATGTAACAATGTCTCAGACTGACACAGGGCGCACGTTACAATGTCTCAGACTGACACAGGGCACACGTTACAATGTTTCAGACTGACACAGGGCACATGTCAAAATGTCTCAAACTGACACAGGGCACAAGTTACAATGTCTCAGACTGACACAGGGCACACGTTACAATGTCTCAAACTGGATACTCGCAATAAGGAAGTTGACATCCATAAATCTTGCTGTTCTGATACCTACCTAACTTACAATGTCTCAAACTGACACAGGGCACATGTTACATTGTCTCAGTTTGATACATGGCACAAGTTACAGAGCACAAGTTACAATGTCTCAGACTGACACAGGGCACATGTTACAATGTCTCAGACTGACACAGGGCACACATTACCATGTCTCAGACTGACACAGGGCACATGTTACAATGTCTCAGACTGACACAGGGCAGACGTTACAATGTCTAAGACTGACACAGGGCACATGTTACCATGTCTCAGACTGACACAGAGCACATGTTACACCATCACCAGACCATAGAGCACAGTCTCCCTTTAACTTGTGCATAATGAAACCCTGCTTGATCTCATCAACGTTCAACACCCACTAATGACCACAATTTGATGGTCAGAGAAACTTGAGATTACAACCCATCAGCTAAATGTTTATCACTTTTGCATTGCTTGTTTCAAACTAAATGGAACCGGAATCAGGTATTCTGAAATATTTTTCAAATTCAGGTTCCACTTAAATCTTTAACATAAAGGGATCTGACTCATTTACTTTTAAGCCAAATTTCAGATCAGTGATCATCTGTACGCTAGCTCTGCCAACCACAAAGATACAAAGTGCTATGAAAAAGAAAGTGTTTTACTTATTTGTCCCTAAACATCTCAGTGCATACAGGGTCTTTGTCTGCTGTTTCGGCAGATGGTATAAGCCTTTGCCAGCGGGCTTCTGGTCTCAATGGTGTGCTCAGTGCTTAGTTCAACACAAAAACTTTTACATATATGATCAGCTCCTGTCTTCAAAACATGTCCCAATATTGCAAGCTTGGGGTAAAAACTCCGCTGTGACTTGAGTAAAACTAATCACCTAACTCTAGAATTGCACATTTTGTCAGGGGCTCTCCATGAGGGGGCATGTTTGATCAGCCCAGTGTAGATATTGTAAATGTACTGGGGTACCTTTTGTTACTATTTCGTACAAAGATAAGTTTATAAGTCCAGCTGCGATAAGGGGATATTGGTGGCAGAACAATCCGTTGTACATCTTGGCTGCCGGAATGAAGTAGGTGCAACCGAAACCCTTGCACACTTCTTATCATTACCTACGAGGGCGAACATATCGGGGTTCATAGTTTTCATACGATGCCCTAGGGCAAAATATCACTTTGTCATGGTGATGTGATGTCATGAACAATGACATGATATGCTTCAATTCACTGTGCTGAGCAATGTCCCTCTGGTGCAATCATGTTTTGGTAGGTTTGCCCCACAACGATGATCTTTGTATTTTTTAAAGTATACTTGTGCTTGTTGATTTAATGAAAACACACATCTTTGACCCACATAAATTGACAAACTATGATGATACAACTGAGTTCTCGGCCATTCTATCATTTACTATTTGGCACGGGTATTGGATGTTCACAATGTACTGCATTAAACACACAATTCAAAATCACCAAATATACCAACCATTCAAAAACAATATCGCGTTATGAATTGTGGAAAGAATGAACCTCAATACACTGATATACACTTAATACCACACACCCCTATTATACAGTGTCTCGAACTGAAAGACCTCGTGACAATTATATCTGTGTGATCTGTAATTAAAACACCACCCAAAAGAATTACTGTCATATGACACAACCTGAAAACGACTTGATGGGGATTGTGATTGTGAAGGTACAGTCACTAAAATCTACTGAAAAAATGACAAGAGGAAGACAGATCAATGTTCTGAAATCGGGAAATAGAATCCATAAAGGGAAGCCTTGGGAAACACAATTCATAGAATGAGTACTTGAGTATAATGTGCATCCAATAACACTTGGAGAAAACTTGTAATTCCTTGTCCTGTGTTATGTCCAAAACAAACATCATATCTCTATAGGTGAAGAACACAGCATGAAAACTTGGTCAGTGAAAATGTTAAATTTGTGATAAAACATTACTAGACACTGTGATTGAACTGCATTTTCCTTTATGCTAGGCTTTGCAGCATATGCCGAGATTGAGAAAAATGACATTTTTGACAGATGCATCCTAATTACAAATTCTGAAAGAACTTTTTATTAAATTATTAAAACACATAACAAATACCAGTCTACATCTACAGTGAGCACTTTTAATGACCAGTAATAATAGCAGGATTAACTTGCTTTACTTCAGCACTTCCCTCTACATAGTTATATTTGTTTAAACCAGTTGAAGGTTCACAAACCACTGAGTCACCATGCAAGCAAGCAGATCCTGTCAGCCAGGGGAAAGCACTCTGTACAGCCAGTTGTAGCTCCACAGATCACTGGGACAATGCCTCTCTCAAGTTTCTGGTATTGTCATTTGCTCTCTTTGCTTCCTTTTGCAGTAAGTATATTTGACTCAATTGCAAATGGTAATTTAAACCCTATAGACAACTGATTTGACTTCCAGTGGTAAAGGTCAGTTATACATGACATGACTTGGTATCACTCATCCATAAATGTTTGGTTTGAGTCTTAAATAATCAGAACATTTTCTTCAAACTACCAGGGCTATCAATATTAAACCTGAACATAAACTATGGCCATCATTTTCATGTTGCACATCTGCTATCGCCAACATCTTAATGCTGAACATCAGCTATCGCCAACATCTTAATGCTGAACATCAGCTATTGGCAACATCTTAATGCTGAACATCAGCTATTGGCAACATCTTAATGCTGAACATCAGCTATTGCCAACATCTTAATGCTGAACATCAGCTATTGGCAACATCTTAATGCTGAACATCAGCTATTGCCAACATCTTAATGCTGAACATCAGCTATCGCCAACATCTTAATGCTGAACATCAGCTAACGCCAACATCTTAATGCTGAACATCAGCTATTGGCAACGTCTTTAACGATGAAAATCAGCTACCTCCAACATTATAGAACAAACTTTATGGATAACAACTTCTTTTTATTCGTGAGTGCGACGTTTCGATACAGATTCTTGTACCGTTGTCAAGCATAATGATGCTTGACAGCGGTACAAGAATCTGTATCGACATTTCTTGGTACAAGAACGTCGCGACTCGCACTCGAATAAAAAGAAGTTGTTATTCATAAAGTTTGTTCTATATTGTACTTCCCAACTTCTAAAATGCCACTCAAAGAAGTTACCTCCAACATCATAATACTCAACATCAGCTACCTCCAACATCATAATGCTGAACATTAGCTACCACAGACATCATAATGCTGAACATTAGCTACCACTGACATCATAATGCTGAACATAAGCTACCACTGACATCATAATGCTGAACATCAATTATCGTCAAAATCATAATGCTGAACATTGGCTACCCTCCAACATCTTAATGCTGAACATCAGCTACCTCCAACATCATAATGTTGAATATCACTATCGCCAAAATCATAATGCTGAA